AGAAGACGCAGGACGGCCCGGCACATCTCCCGACTGGTCCCGGTGTAGATGAGGGGGTTGAGGAGAGAGTTGGCCATGGCCAAACCCAAGAAGTAGTCGGCGTGGTAGAGCACGGCGCAAGCCCGGGGGCAACACCAAGCGTCCAGGAGGAGGAGGAGGAAGAGGGGGGACCAACAAGCGATGAAGGTCCCCACCACCACCGTCACCGTTTTGAGAAGAGCCGGAGATTTGGGGGCCGGGCGGAGGTTGGCGGAACGACGGACGGCCCGGTAGAGACGAGCGTAGAGGATGACGATGGCCAAGAGGATGGCGAGGAAGATGGCCACGCAGAAGAAGACGTAGCGCTTGGAGTAGAGGGGGAGGACGGTGGAGCAGACCCTCAAGTCGCCCAAACAATTCCAACCCAACCCTGGCAAGGCCGCTGGGGACAGGGATGGGGACAGGGACACGGGATGGGGACAGGGATGGGATGGGGACAAGGACAGGGACAGGGATGGGGACAGGAACCCAAGAGGAGCAAGGATGGGGACAGGGATGGACACGGAGACACAGGTAAGGACAGGGATGGGTTGGGGACAGGGATGGACACAGGGATGGACACAGGGACCAGGGATGGACACAGGGATCAGGGATGAGGACAGGGATGGGGACAGGGATGGGATGGGGACAAGGACAGGGACCAGGATGGACACAGGGATGGGTTGGGGACAGGGATGGGGACAGGAACCCAAGAGGAGCAAGGATGGGGACAGGGATGGGATGGGGACAGGGACAAGGGTAAGGACAGGGATGGGGACAAGGGACCAGGAATGGGGACAAGGATGGGATGGGGACAAGGATAAGGATCAACACGAGCATGGGGACAGGGATGGGGACAGGAACCAGGGATGGGGACAGGGACCAGGACCATCCTGGAGGCCCTGGATGAGGGGCTTGAGGAGGGAGTTGGCCATGGCCAAGGTCAAGGAGGGTCCTTGTCCCCAAGGTGGAGGACAAGGGGGGGGGGACAGGGACCAGGGATGGGGACAAGGATCAACACAGGGATGGGGTCAGGGACCAGGACCACCCTGGAGGCCCTGGACAAGGAGGTTGAGGAGGGAGTTGGCCATGGCCAAGGTCAAGGAGGGTCCTTGTCCTCAAGATGGGGGACAAGGCGGGGGGACAGGAACCAGAGATGGGGTTGGGATGGACATGGGGGGGGACAGGGATGGGGACAGGGACCAGGGACG